CTTCACCCAAGGATACTTTTCCATTGAGTTTTAGAGAGAGTGAAGGGAAAGGGAGAGACTCATTGATTGGTTGCCTCCTGCACATGCTTTGATAGGGACTGGGGATCAAACCAGCAACTGAGGTTCATGCCCTTGACTGGAATTGAACCTGGGACCCTTCAGTCCATGGGCTAATGCTCTATCCACTGAGCATTTTGCTTAATTTATTTACTTTTAATCTATATGTGTCTTTATACTTAAAGTGGGTTTTGTTTTTGATTCACCCTCATAATCTGTCTTGGCTTCTGGGGCAAGGCAGGCCGGCTTCTGGGGTGGGGCTGCCTTGCTGCCCAGGACCTGCCAATGGGGTCTCTGGTGGCAGGGAGGGCTGGGCCTGCCCTGGATGGTGGCACGCACTGGCGGCTTGCACTGTCCTGCCCTGCCTGCAGTATGCAATTAGCCGCCATCTTTGTTGGTGGTTAATTTGCATATTGTGCTGATTAGCCAATGGGAGGGGTAGTGAAGGTATGGTCAATTACCATGTTTGTCTATTATTAGATAGGATAGATGGCATTACCCTTCTGAAATATAAATATTCCTTTTATTTTATATTTGAAAAGCATTATGTACTAAATTTGTAACTTAGATTTTATTTAGTGAACACACTTTTTTCCCTCAGTGGTATAATTATCAGTACTTTTATATTATTGATGCCCCCCATTAAGTAATTAATGTGTGAATCCAATTATAGTCATATTGACCAAAAATTTGCTTTATATTCAAGATGTTGTGCTGTTTTGTGCTATTAGTAGCATATTTTTAGCACAGAAATAGTAATTATAAATAAAATATTTTTTGTTATACTGCTGTTTTGGAGATACTTAGCCACATTGAAATTTTCACTGAATCTTTTATAAAATTAAGTTCATATATCTTAGGAACTAGCAGAGAAATTTTCCCTCAGGGTGTATTCCAGAAGAGGATCAGGTAGTTTTTGATAATGAATTGGGACCTTACAAAAATATTTCTAGCACAGCAACAATAATTCAAATAAGAATTGAATTGAGAAGGAAGGAAAAGAGAATTAGTTGTTTTTCTTCTTTGAATATTGGTGTTTTGGGCGAAAAAAGATCATTCTAATTTGCCTGTTTTTTCCTGTGCATTATCTAGACCGATCTAGTTTAATCTGTCTTATAATCAAAATAATGGAAATATGATTTTTCTTTTCATGGTAGGAGATGGAATAAGCTGAGACTGCAGGACAAAGAGAAGTGTCTGAAGCTTGAAGATGATTCTGAGGAAAGTGATGCTGAGTTTGATGAAGGTTTTAAAGTGCCAGGTTTTTTGTTCAAAAAGCTTTTCAAGTATGTGCCATGTGTTTTTTCCTTTTATTCTGTCATCAAGCCATTGTGTGCAGATTAATATTTTAGGAATTACACAGCAGTTACCTGTGGGCCCTTAGGTACTGGCAGCAATTTATTGCAAATAGATGCTGTCAAGTGAAATTTTAGCCACATGCTGTTCATTAAAATTAGATGATAATAAATTGACTGAAGTGCGCATTGGGTATGTTTGTAAACTGATGAATCTATATAGACCCATCTTAACAGACTAAAAGCAGCACATTTAAAAACCATCTACATCGAGTTATTTTATAGTTCTTAGTAATTTTTAGGAACCAAACCTCTAATTTCTTAAATCAGATTAATTAAGAAGAGTTTTATATTAAAATCAATATTGGGAAGGTTTTTTACTTCTATGTAGAATAAAAAAACTGTTTAGATTATTTTCTGAGTGCCCTATATTGTACCTAAGGGTGTAATACTTTTGAGCTGACCAAATGTGCATCTAAATATTTTATGTAGATGTCCTAATGTCAGAAAAGAAGATGTAGTCAAACACCTTCAGGATTGAGCTGCTCTTTGAAACTGACTATGTTTCATATGTGAAGTGGCCTCAGTGTTAGAACCGGATGCTGCATGGCAGGCGCATGCGGAAAGCCTGCAAGGCCTGGGCAGTCTCCCGTGATGAATGTGAATACTGAGGCACATTTTCAGTCTCATCACTCTTGGGACTTGCTTAACAAGGTACTTCAGGAAGGCTTCTTAGATGCATATAGGAAGTTAAACCATTAAATAGCTTCTTTCTGTCTCTCATTATCAGTTGGTAGTTGGGTGCGGGATGCAAACTTCTTTCTTTGAAATGGTTATGTTTAATCTTCATAGATTTGCCTGTCAGCCATGCTTTAAACTTCTGCAAGATGTCTATTTAAAAATAGCATGCTTTTTATATTTCATCTCAGAGAGTTTTTATTTATAGTTTTAATTTTTCTTGGAGTGTGTGGGAGAAAACAAGAACAGGAAGAATTATTTTATCTCACTAAACATATAGAAAAGCTGAATCCTAAAGATGTGTTGAAGTATCTTGGTTGGGTTACCATAACTAGACAGAAAAAACTGCAAAGAAATTAAAATCTGAATCTCTCTAGTAATTTTTGTAGATTTTATAGCTTGGAGAGGTGGCAACTTTGTTTATTGCTTTCCCAAAATGAAAATTAACTATGGAAAGATAAATAAAGATGTTTATTGGCAACTCTTTTCATCTTCTCTGAAGCGATTGCTTATTAAGTAACAGGCCAAATTATAGTATCTTATCAAAGATAAGATACTTCTACACGTATAGTGATTTGGCAAATATCCTCAAGACTCAAGTTGAATCTGCATTTTTAAAAAATGTGAAATTTTCTAGCAAAAAAATTTCACAGTTAATACAACCAAACTTTGCTTACTAAGAATGTATATGATATATTGTATTGACTATTTGCCTTATTGTAGTTAATGTTGGCACGTTTATTTGGTTTTTTAATTTATCTTAATTGCACATTCCTGGAAAGTATTTTTTGTTGTTGTTTTTCATCACTCAAAACAGGGTTTTAAATACTTCAAAAATGTTATAAAACTTCTGTTCCTTTTCTTCTGCTATATGAAAAAGAGTAATACGATTGATAGTCTCCATTTTTATTTTATGATTAAATTTCAGGTAAGGCCATTTAATTTTAAACTATAGATATGTATTTTTCCTGTATTTACTGCACCCTGTGGATTTAGATTAACAGGGAATTGTACACAAGGGAGTCAGAAGGTACAATTATCCATTTAAGTGATATTTTTTGTAAGGTCATGTTTAACTTTTAAAATTCTGTTTTGAAAGTTTGCCCAGCAAATGCATTCATCTGTATAATTTAGCAATCGAATGGCAAGCTTCACCCTTTTGACCTTACTTTTAGCTACGCTAGTTAATGCAATTTTGGATTAGTGTGACAATGCCAAAATATACCAATTATCTGTGATAATTTTGTGATGTTTTAGTCTCATGGGAGAAGCAGAGTATAATAATTTCTTTACTATGGTACAGTAATTTGTAAAAATATTTAACTTTCCCTAATGACCCCTAATAGATGCCTGAAACTGTGGATAGTACCAAACTTTTCTTTTCACTTCTCTTTGGCATAGTCTGAATTGCCAGCACCACTCTTGTGCCTGGGCCATTTTTAAGTAAAATAAGGGTTACTTGAACACAAGCACTGTAATACCTCAACAGTGGATGTGATAACTGAAAGAGCTACTAAGTGACTAATGGGCAGGGAGCGTGTACAGTGCGGGTAATGCTGGACAAAGGGGTGACTTATGTCCCAGCAGGACGAAGTGGGAAGGCTTGAGGTTTCATCATGCTACTCAGAATGGTGTGCAAACTTAAAACTTATGTTTATTTCTGGAATTTCTCTTTAATATTTTTGGACTGTGATTTACTGCAAGTAATTGAAACTGTAGAAAGTGAAACCACAAATAAAGGGTTAGTTCTATACATCAGTTTTTTGGCGAGTTTTTTGAATACATCCTTTTCCAAAGCTGGAATTAGTTTATTAGCCAGTTCACAGCCAGCTTTTATTCTAGATCTGGGTTTCTCATCTTTAGTACAATGATATTTTGGGCCGAATAATTCTTTGTTGTAGGAACTGTTCCTTTGTGTTGTAGGATGCTGATCAGCATCTCGGACTTTCACCACTAGAGAACAAGGGCATTTGCCTGTAGGTAGTGCCAGATGTTCCTGAGGAAGCAGAGTGACCCCTCCTTGAGAACTGCTGGTCAGGATTATCTCTCAAGTGGTTGGAATCAGAGGTTCTGGATTTTCAGTTCTGCCTTGCTCATTCTTTTATAACAGTGTGACCTTTGGCAAGTTACTTAACCTCTCCGTGCCTTCATTTCCTAACTATAAAACAGGCTGGCCAATCTCCCTGCAGGGTGGTTTTGAGGCTACATCCAACCACCTGGCCTGGTGCCTCCCTGGCAGTAGGCTCTAGGCCAGCTGTGGGCAAACTACGGGGACCCGGCCCGTTTGAAATGAATAAAACTATTGAAAAAAAAGACCGTACCTTTTATGTAATGATGTTTACTTTGAATTTATATTAGTTCACACAAACACTCCATCCATGCTTTTGTTCCGGCCCTCCGGTCCAGTTTAAGAACCCATTGTGGCCCTCTAGTCAAAAAGTTTGCCCACCCCGCTCTAGGCTCCTGAAGTAGTTGCCATTATTCTCTGATTGTATACCACTTGCAAGTAGAACTTTTCCTTCTTCCCAAATTAAATGATATTTTATTCATAGTGCACTTTTTATGTCTTGATTTTTAATCCTTTTTTTCCAGGGTGCATATTCAAATTGTATATTATGACTAGAGGCCCAGTGCGCAAAAATTTGTGCACTGGGTGGGGGTTGGGGGCCCCTCAGCCTGGCCTGCCCCCTCTCACAGTCCAGGAACCCTCAGGGGATGTCTTACTGACAGCTTAGGCCCGCTCCCTCCACGGCTTGTCTGAGCCTTGGGCCGGCTCTCCCAGCGGCAGCCGCCATCCGTGGCCTGCCTGAGCCTCGGGCAGCCGCTGTGGCTTTGTCCGGAAGGACGTCTGGAAGGATCTCCACCCTAATTAGCATATTACCCTTTTATTAGTATAGATTAGCAAACTTAGTAAGCAGTAAAATTCTCATTCTAAGTTTTCCTTATGTGATAGATAATAATGGCAACAGCTGGAGTCAAATTTTGGAATTGATTTGCCGAATACTGGGGGAAAGTTAATTATGACATGAGAGAAGATTAAGTAAAACTAGTTCAACAAGGACTGCAGTTCATAATGAGATTTTAGGTAGACATGTCGTGTACCAAATACATTTGGGCAGTAAAATGAAATCATTTTCTTTTACGGTGGGAAGCTCATTAGTCTTGGTATTTTCCTGAAAGAAAAAAAAAAATCCTTTGGATTTCATTGTCTTTTAACTTATGTGTTTTTTTGTGTGTGTTTTTTTTAGATTTCTTTTTAACTTTTTAACTTGGCATGGAATCTTTATACTGTTCCATGATGTTAACTCTTAAAAATTCTTTTTGCATTATTCCTTTTTTAAACTTTATTTTTATTTTTTTTTAAACTTTATTTTTAGACTATAGATTAAATAAATATGCCATTGAGAAAGGAAAATACCAACATTTTTCTTTCTTTTTTTTGTAGAGGGGACTGTGTTATTATTACCTTTGACCTGTACTCCTTATTTAAAATATCAAGAGCTCTAATGTTTTTGTATCTATGAAAAAGTCCCTGAATCAACTTCTGCTTTAAAATATTAAAAAGTTTTTTTGTATTATTGATTTTTGAAACTTTTTTTTGCATATGCTAGTAATATGGCAGAATCATCTGTTATGTATTAATTTTGTGAGGAACTCTATTATTCAGACTTGTTTATCACCTTACAATTTAATTTAATTTTTCTTACAAAAAGAAAATATGGACCTAGCCGATTTGGCTCAGTGGATAGAGCATCCACCCATGGACTGGAGGGTCCCAGGTTCAATTCTGGTCAATGGCATATACCTTGGTGGCAGACTCGATCCCCGGCCAATGTTTCTCTCTCTCTGTCTCTCCCCCTACCTTCCACTCTCTCTAAAAATCAATGGAAAAAATATCTTCAGGTGAGGATTAACAACAACAAAAAAAGTAATATGATTACCAAGTGACTTTTCAGTAATATATGCTATAAATTGGTAATCTATGGCCTGCTTTTGATGCTGTTCATGCTTTTTGTTAATAGAAAATTATTGAAACTTAAAAAACTAAAAGTATTTGAGATTTCCCCCTCCAGAAAGATACTGAAAAAGATAATGAGTTTATGTTTATCTACCAAGCTATTTTTAATGTTGTAAAGGAAATAAAATAGCCCCTAATTATGCCATCTATCAGTTTAATTAGAAATGTGTTAATGTTCTGTAAAGAAAAATTTGTGATTTTAGGCCTAGGTAATAAAAAATGTATGACTTTATAAATATAATACTTATGTAAAACACACATCCGGCATGTTTCTCTAACTGGTACTAGAACTTAGCGAAATGATTAATTCATGAGTACTTTGTGTTATGATCTGTATTATCCACCATTTGCCATTTTCTTTTTCTTGTTGGTGTTTGTTGTTGTAGGTACCAGCAGACAGGTGTTAGGTGGCTGTGGGAATTGCACTGCCAGCAGGCAGGAGGAATTCTGGGAGACGAAATGGGATTGGGCAAGACCATCCAGATAATTGCCTTCTTGGCAGGTCTGAGCTACAGCAAGATCAGAACTCGTGGTTCAAATTACAGGCAAGTGCTCCTCTGCAGACTGTCAGTCTGTGGAGCTCAATTAATATTTTATCAGATGTATTGCTGTGGAGGAGGGTCTTGTGAATTATTGATGACATTTCAATTACAATATTCCTTTAATTCTTTTAGTGGGGGAGATCAAAGGAAAATTTTTACGAGACAATGGAGCTGTAGGGCAGGAGAAATTAAACATGTAACACTTTTAATGAATTCTAGGCATTGAGGCTTCATTTTGCAGATGAGCCCCACTAGATGTTTTGGGTCAATACAGTTGTCTAAGGTTAGCTTCTACAAATGGATTGTTTACAAACTCAATTATGTTAATATCAATAGTTTACACAATATGGAATATTAAATTAGACATGATACTTTTAGTTCCATTTATTAAATTTTATATTAAAATATTTGTTTTGGCATGAGACCAGGTAAGCATTACAGTAAGTACAAAGTCTATTCATGGGGAAAGTTGGAACTTTGGAAAAGCCATTCTCCCGAATTTCTTCTATAGTCGTCGTGCATGAGAGCATTTATAGACAGTGATTTCTTATAATGACATTACTTGTCTGCTCACTATTGCTTTCTACCCCCTCTTCCAAGACTTTATAGAAATTCTAAGGCCACAGCCTAAGTGACTATCTGAAATGCTAAAATGAGAGAAAACTGTTTAGATTTTAGTCTTTATTTTCTTTAGGAATTTTAATACTATTAAAGCTTTAGTACTCTGAAAGAATAAGAATTTTAAAGTGTTAGTTCGGTATGGTAGGATTGAAATACTTTATTTTAAAATCAGTGTGGTGACTGTTTCCATATTTAAGTTGTAAATTTGCTTTGTATAGTTTAGTACTGGGAACAATAATGCTAGGTAAATTATGTGGGTTATTCTTGAAGCCAGTTAATCTCAGAGCTTCTTATTGTTTTTTAAAATCTTTATTGTTGAAAGTATTACTTATGTCCCCTCTTCCCCCCATTAACCCTTTCTAGTTCACCTCCCTGCTTCTGCCTATATTGGGGCCAGGCCCCGCAAGCCAGGCCAAGGGATCCATTCCTGCACTGGGCCTCTAGTATGCATATAAGATCTTTGGTTAGTCTCTTCCCCTCCCCCACCTTCCCTCTGAGATTCATCAGTCTTTTCTTTGCTTTTGTGTCTCTGGAACTATTATGTTCATCAGTTTATTTTGTTCTTTAGATTCCACATATGAGTGAGATCATGTGATACTTGTCTTTCTCTGACGGGCTTATTTCACTTAGCATAATACTGAGAGCTTTTTAGATTCCAATAGGCTTATCTAAGGAGTAAAAGCAAGCTATTTACCGGATGGTTATGTGGTAGAAACCTCGGGCATGCTCTAGATAAGATTTGGAGACACCTTTAAAATCATATCAGTGTATCTGAAGTCACAACTGCAGAAAGTCCCTGTGTTGTGTTGTCCTCCAATTCTTCACAGACAGTGTATAGCAGAGAGCCAAATACAAACCATAGGCTACTGAGTGAAGAGCTTTCCATCTTCACAGTGCTTTGTCTTTATCCCTTACTCTGTTATTAATTTACCAGATCAACACTTCTCATGAGGAGTATTTAAAGTTTTAGAAATATTTATGTAAATGCGGGAAAGGGAAAAAACACTTGGTGATTTTAAAATACTAAATATTTTGTTGTTATTACAAGGAAGAAGAGGTTTTTCTTCATATGTTAGAATTCTGTTACATTTTGCCTGGAATCAAGTGAAGACATTCCAGCCCAGGGAAAAGGCAGAGTTGAACTTAATGTTTTCTTTTCTAAGACTGTCATTAGTTTAGATTTGTAAAATGTTTTCTCTGTTCTAAATAGCTCTTAGGTGGGCTTGGCTCTATAACTCCACTTGGGTTTTTGTTGTTGTTTTGATAACTAGAATGCCCTAAGCTGCCCCAGATATTTTCTAGGACTGTCTTTCTTTCCTTAAATGATTTCTGGGATTTTCTTATTTCCCATGTCTTTCCTCCTTTCCTTCCCTATTACCATGAAACCTGTATGGAACCTCGTCCTCTGGGCCTAGGAAACCTAAAGTCATTCCTGCAGTGTAATTTTGATCTAAAAATTAAAACATGCCTCCCAAGCAGTGACAATTGTAGGAGTGAAGTCAAGGCTAATGATAGAACAGCTGTAATCAATTAGCTATCGGTGCATATCCTCTTTTCCATAATGAAATCGTGTGACGTGTTGGACTATAGCCCAGATCGTCTTCACTGAAATAGTATTGGTACAAGTGCTTCCCAAAATGTGGTTGTATATCATCAGAACAACGAGGCTCTGTATGAATAGAGGTGCACTGAGGGTCCCCCAACTCCCATGTGCCAGAGCAAACTACTGATATGTAACAGCATTGTAACATATCCTCCTCCAAAACAGAATGAATTTAGAGTTTTCCTCTGTGTTCATGTCCTAAGGAAACGAGTCAGATGAATAGTCAAATGAATTTCAGATGAAATTGAGTTGTCAAGTGCTATGAGTCGGCCTTGCTTTATTGGCTGTGCACATTTCCCCCGAACTCCTACAAGCTGTGCAGTTTGAGGCCCTAACTTTAGGTGGTGTTAGTGTTGTAATTTTGAGTCCCATGATCATTAAAATAGTGTGGGTCTCTGTGATAGCAAGAAGAAACTTTGTGGCAAAAGATGTTTTGGGTGGTTTATTTTAATGTGTTGTGTATGTGTGTTTGTTTTTAAGAAGGAGAAACATATGGCATGTGGTTAATAAAAATCTATACTGGTCACTGTGTTCCCAGTTCATAATGCACATACTATCTTATTTTCACTTTGCCATTCATATTATGATAGACACACCCCAAATTTTATGATGGAGAGGAAAGAAATTATCTTTCAAACTTCAGATAATATTTTAAAGTCTTAGCTATCATTGAGTAAATTTCTAATTACAAATAAATGGCTTGAAAAAATTAATAAACTTTTCAAGGTAAATATTTTACTTTGTAATTTCTGGTAAGTTCTAGGCTGTGAGTAGCAGATTTCCATCCTGCAGGTTGACATATTTGACCCTGACACTATTGGCTTGTCTTAAATTTGTGAGATCATAATCAATGATAATGAGGATGAAAGGAACTGTAGCCAGTTTGGTAATTAATGCTAATCCTCTAGGACAGTGGTCAGCAAACTGTGGCTCGCGAGCCACATGCGGCTCTTTGGCCCCTTCAGTGTGGTTCTTCCACAAAATACCAGCTCTTCCACAAAATACCGACTTCTGCGCATGGGCCACAAAGTTTCAATCGCATTGTACATGCGTGCCCGCACATGGTATTTTGTGGAAGAGCCACACTGAAGGGGCCTAAGAGCCGCATGTGGCTCGAGAGCCGTGGTTTGCCGACCAAGGCTCTAGGATATTTAAGTACTTCTAGTGGTCATCTTACCAGTGTTGAGGGCTGGAGAAGGGTAGGGTAGTAGATGTGATTGTTAATGGATTTGATTGCCCCTTCTTTGGTTCAGGAACAAGGTTGGTATTGCTCCTAGCTGTCTACTCAGCCTCTAAGCCTCCGTAGTCTTCAAATAAAGGGAGAATGACAGAAATTGAAGGGCGTAGTAATTCACACAGCTGTTCAGCCAGAATGTAATATTGACCTTAAATGACAAAATGTGAGTCATCATTGTAGCAGTTTGCTGAAAGAGAAAAACTGTGGTAGAACCTAATAAAAACCCCGTCCGTATGTGTGTATTTATGCTTATTTGGAAGTGAATTTGTTTTTAACTATTTTAGACAGATTTTGAATGGTTGTTTCCTAATTCCTGCTAAGTACATATTGATGATAATTCTTGTTCCCCTTGGAGGATAGAAGCCGGTGCATTTAATCCTTTTAGAAAGGAGTATTGTCTTGGAAGGGGCCAGGGCAGAGGCACACTCTCCCAGGATCTGCCTTGGAGAGAAGCAGAGACGTTTGGGGAATTCTGCAGGAAGTGCCAGAGTTGATTGCAGCCACTGACTTCTGTAGTCCCAGCCCTTGTGCAGAGCAGAGGGCAGGGCAGGGGCTGTAGCCGCAGGTTGAAAGGGTTTGGAAGCAGGTGGAGACTGTCATGTTGGAGTATAAGAGTAAGCCTCGTTTAGGTTATGGCTTGTTTTTCTGTTAGAGCTACAAGGTATTTTTCAGTTTTGCACAATATTGTTTTTAATATTTTAAGCACTGTTTGATTAACTCTGATTTATATATTTTTTTAAGTTCAGGTATCATTTATTGAACTGTAGCAAGAAAATAAAAATTACACATGTTCCCCCAACTCAGAAATTATCTCGTTTATTTCAATATATTTTCTGCCAACCCTTAAAAATATTTTTTTAAATATGTTTTATTGATTTTTTACAGAGAGGAAGGGAGAGGGATAGAGAGCTAGAAACATCGATGAGAGAGAAACATCGATCAGCTGCCTCCTGCACACCCTCTGCTGGGGATGTGCCCGCAACCAAGGTACATGCCCTTGACTGGAATCGAACCCGGGACCTTTCAGTCTGCACGCCGATGCTCTATCCACTGAGCCAAATTGGTCAGGGCCTTAAAAATACTTTTATTTAATAAAGCCAGTATTCATTAATTCCTTCCTGTGCCTTAGGCATTGAGGTGATTTGAAGGAAGGCGCTTAGGAATGATTAGTTAGTACCGGGTCTCATTAGGGTGCTGCACCGCGGAACGGTCCTTAGCCCTTCTGGAGAGGAAAGGACAGGGAGAAGCTACCGAAGCAGCTGAGGTCTGAAGGAGAAATAGACGATAGATAGGATAAAAGGATAGGAAGGGACAAGGCAGAGAGTGAGAGGCCCAGGTTGTGCTCTTGGTAGGAACTGAAGACAGTGCAGGCAGTTGGAGTGCTGAGCCTCAGGGCAGATGTTGGGGTGGTGTCGTGAGAGGTGAGGCTGATGAGGCGATCAGAGCTCAGATTCTTGTGGTTTCATAGGCCAGATTAGGTGTTTAAACTGTTCCAGGAACAATAGGCAGATGTTAAAAGGCTTTTTTAAGCAAAGGGATGAAGCATTCAGATTTTGCTTTTTTGAACTGATCATGCTAGTACACACAGTAACCGGGTCAGATGACAGTGGCCAGAACTGAGCATCAGCATGTAGATGCACAGGCAGGTGGCTTGTGGAGGGATTGAGGAGCCAGACGTGACGTGAACTTGATAGGTTGGATATGGTGGAGAGCAAGAGGGGCTGACCAGGGATGAGGGCTGGATTTCCAAATTGGGCACCTGGAGAGTAGGTGACAGTTCTTTCCGTTGGATTAGGAGTCATGCGGAGGGCAAGGTGTGTGGGGAAGATGCTGTGGGGACATCTGAGTGGAGATACAGCATTAGACATCCAAGCATATGGTACTTTGGAGTTCAGGAAGGAGATCTGGGCTGGAGACCTAGATTTGGCATCATCTGTGTAGAGGGAGTAATTGAAACAATGGGAATTAATTAGATAGCATGGGGCAGGAATGTGCAGTGTACATCTAACTGTAGTCTACACTGTGTCGGGCAGAAAAAGGTAGGGGAGGGGAAGAAGGACAGTTTAAAAAGTGCCCGAGACGGCTCCAGATGAGGGAGAGGGCCATGGAGGTCAGCAGGGTCTGGACAGTGTTGGCTCCTCTGTAGCAGTAGCTGCGTGAGTCTAGTGTTAAGAGATCCCCCCAAGTTGCTTAATATTCACTATGCACTCACTAGCACCCGACTCCCCTGCAGGACTGCAGATGAAGCAGCCAGCAATGGCGGGTGGCTGTGGTGGGGCACAGGCTCATAGCAAGGCCCAGGGGCTGGTCTCTGATGAGAGAAGGAACACTGTTCTACTGTCACAGGAGGGTAGGGCAGGACGGGTAGACTCAGGTACCTGTGGTTTACAGCTCATCAGGGTAGTTTGAGTGTAAGTAAATAAAGCCCGGTTTCAAAATAGGTTAAACTCTCCCAGTACGTGTGCTATCCCTTGAAAACTGCAGGAGTGGGCAGTAACACAGCCCGATCAGTAGGCTGGGATGTTGTCAGGGACCCAGGTGCTCACATTTCTCATTGTGTCATAAGATTTTGCACTGTACCCAGCTGCCCTGTGGCCACTGGGCTAGCTCCTTGTGCACGTGCAGCAGGAGACCAACAGAGGAAACGCTTCCCCAGCTGAGAAGGTGCAGCACCTCATCCATATGGTGTGTTCCAAGATCCCCAGTGAATACCTGACACCTGGGGTAGCACCAAACCTATGCATACACACCTATGGTAAAGTTCAATTTATAAATTAGGCACAGTAAGCAATGAACAATAGTAACTAATAACAAAATCAAACAGTTATAACCATGTACTACCATAAAGATATGTAAATGTGACCTCTCTCTCAAAACGTCTTATTTTACTGTTCTCACCTTCTTTTTCTTGTGATGATGTGGGATGGTGCTGTGTGTAGCTGAGAAGGACAGGAGGTGAGTGGCATGGGCAGGGTGCCATAGCGCAGGCTGCTATAAGGGTGACTGAACACAAGCACTGTGGTACCACGACAGTCAATCCGAGAGCCCAGATGGCTGCTCAGTGACTAATGGGTGGGAGTGTATACAGCACCGGTACACTGGCCAAAGGGGCGATGCACGACTAAAGCTGGATGTGAGATTTCATTACAGTCCAGCTACTCAGACCAGTTTAAAACTTTAGAATTGTTTATTTCTGGACTTTTCCATTTAACATTTTTGGACTGAAAATGCAGAAGGTGAAACCGCAGATAAGGGGGGACTACCATCACTGAGTGAGCCAGTGTTCCCAGGCCCCTTAGTGGACTAGTGAGCATTGCCAGGGGCGTGGTGTGTGCTGACAATCTGAGAAGAATCGGGACTCCTGCTTCTCCCGTCTTCACTACAGCCAGACCCTGCTGAGTCCCAGCAGGGACGCCTCTGGGAAGGAAGCGTGGATGCTGCACAGCACTGGTTCTGTTAGGGAGGAGCTAGGAGAAAGGCATGCTGGGATAGTGGTCACGACCCATCTATCAGCTACCTATGTGTAAGTCTTTTTTTTAAAAGACTTACTATGAACATTTTTCCAGATTTTAAAATATTCTTCAGAAAGAATATTAATGGTTACATGATATTCCATCTTCTTTAACAAGCACTTATAGTATTTACTGTGTGGTACAATATTGACAGTAAGCACTTTACAGATATTGACTGATTCAATCCTTATGTAAACCATATGATCAGTACTGTTATTCCCACTTTAAGATGAGAAACAGGTTCAGAGAGATTAAGTAATGTACCTAAGAGCACAGAATTAGTGTGTCCAGAGCTGGGCTTCACACGCAGGCAGTCCTAACCACTGACCCGTGCTACATTAAAGAACAGGATGCTTTAGTCCACCCTCCCTTTATTTGTGGGTGTGTAAGTAAAAGAGGAAGCAAGTAGGAAAAATAGGCTCCCTTTCCCCACCATGTACATATGCTTCTTTGGGATTGCTGGGTGGACGTGGGCTGTTGATAAGGCTCTTGCTCGTGGTACTCAGTTGTTTCCACTAGAACAGGCGCTTGCGCTCGATGGCCATGGGCTTACCACTAGTGACGGCCACTACGCTGCTCCTCCGTGTGTTTATCACATGGGAAGTGAGCAGCATGTGGAAGAGCGAGCTGCAGCGCTCAGAAGACTGACTTCTAGGTGTTACCCATCTCCTGTGACCATGTGGCCCTGGCACGTCAGCATTCTGGGCTCTGAACCCCTGGGCATTTCTGTCCTGCTTATTTCCAGGGCTGTGAGGCTGGCTGGAATTTTGTGGGTGAAAACTTGTGGTAAATTATAAAGGGTCAAACAAATGGAAGGCACTCTTGTGTTCCCTTAGTTTGAGATACATTGATAATAATCTCTTCATTAATCTGGAATAGAGGAGGAGAGAAAGTATTTTTATGACATGATTTTTGTTTGATTTTCCTTTACTTTAGATGTTATCTTTTCTAAAAAAAAATTATTTTTATTGATTTCAGAGAGGAAGGGAGAGGGAGAGAGAGAAAGAAACATCAATGATGAGAGAGAATCATTGATCAGCTGCCTCCTGCACAGCCCCCACTGGGGATCAAGCCTGCAACCCGGGCATGTGCTCTGACCAGGAATCAAACTGTGACCTCCTGGTTCATAGGTCAACACTCAACCACTGAGCAACACCAGCAGGGCATAGATGTTATCTTCCAATGTGCTAGCTAGCGTTTTCCCTTAATACCTGCATTCACCAATCGATGAATGGGATGGTGGGGATTTCACTGATTGGGTTTTAACCTTAGCAGCTTTTTTTAAATAGGAAATATCAATCCCATAGCTAGGATTTTCCTTTTGTGTTTTGGATTTTCTTTTTTGAACTGTTAAGTTTTGTTTGTTTCTTTTTTTATTTTTTGGCAGTTGATCATCCTTGCACTGTCATTTATGGTTGTATTTTCTTCTTGGACATTTTGGTACAGGTTTGAGGGGTTGGGTCCGACAATCATTGTCTGCCCTACGACAGTGATGCATCAGTGGGTGAAGGAATTTCACACATGGTGGCCTCCGTTCAGAGTGGCAGTTCTACACGAAACTGGCTCCTACACCCACAGAAAGGTAACAGTACCCACGTCAGCACCTTTTTGTTTGTTTCATCTTAAAGCCTTCCATTTTACATGCTTGTTTTCTTTGACCCATGTATATCAAGTGGGTGTTTCTGTGTTTCTCTTCATGCAGTTAAACTGCTACTGATTTAATTTGAGCTGTGTATTTTGAAAATAATTGTGAACGAAGGCTTATAATTCCAGCCCCTAGTGGTGATGAGACTGTTGGTTGTCCTGCTGGGCACAGACAGGGCTCAGCCTGGGAGCACGAGGGGCCGTAAGGCAGGTTCACGAACAGTCCCCTGGCGGATTAGGAGTATTGGTGGCTTCAAATGGTTTTAGGAAGGTGGGTACTAAAGGTCATAATTTTTAATTGGCAAAACCATTTATTAATATGCTTTTAAAACATGTTTTCAACGAACAAAAGAACAATATGCCATTTTGAGAATTTTGCAGTTTGCATTGTTGCTTTTTAGTTTTTTGTTCTCTGAATCCTTGGTTGTCATATAATTATAATCACTGTATTTTGATAGTGTATTTCCTCACTTATTCCTAATTTTAACCACATTATCTAAAAGGAGGTTTATCTGTATTCCTAGGGGTAACATAGATGTGTTCTGTTATGCTTTTTTTATTGTCATCTGTCTCACTATCTAGACTGCAAGTTGCGTAGAGTAGGGACTGTGTGTTCCGCATTTTTGTATCCCAAGTGCCCTATAAGCATTTGTGGAATAAATAATAATTACACGTTTTCACTGTGGTTTCGCAGGTTGTTTTATTGACGGGAAGTGGCAGTTTATTCTGAGTTCTTTCTTTCCTGAGTGTCGGAGCCCTTGAGCAAGCTCTCATGGACCATGAAAGAGCTGGTGAATGTTGGCCTTTCTGAGGGAGACACACATGAGCCCCTAGACCCCAGGGTTTCTGTGATTTTGCCAATACCCCTTTCTTCTACTTTCCCAACTTGTTGTGATCATGAGTAAGCAGAACTTTTGATGGAAGCGAATCAGTACTATCCATAGTTTGGTAGCTCAAGTTTGGTGAGATGAAGTCTTTCTTATACTAGCTGTTGTTAAAACCAACCAACTTTGCCTTGAATTTTAAATGATAAATGGAATATAAACCGAGTTAAAATATAATGCTGTGATTTTAAAAAGTGATATTTTAGCAGCATGGAAATAACAGTTTTCGTTTTTTTTTTTAATCCTCACCTGAGGATATTTTTCCATTGATTTCTAGAGAGAGTGGAAGGGAGGAAGAGAGAAAGAGAGAACGATGGATGTGAGAGAGACACTCTATTGGTTGCCTTCCACACACACACCCCTACCAAGGCTGGCAAACCTGCAACTGCTTCCTTAACTGGGAATCGATTCCTCAATACTTTGGTCTGAGGGTTGATGCTCCAACCACTGAACCAAACCCGCCAGGGCCAAAATAAGAGTTGCTGTTGTTTTTCTAGTCAAAATAAATTATAACCATCCTGTCACCACCCTTGTAAGCCTGGGTATTCCTTTTTTCACTTCCATTGTCTATTGACATCTCTTAATGTTTTGTTTCACAAAATTCTGTGGAAAGATCCATTAGTTGATGTTTGTCTTTAAAAGACAATTTCTTTCTATGTCCATCTTTATGCTTTTCTTTGGGCTAGTGAAGTGTGTATATTTCACACCTTCACCTGGATCACGGCTCACCTGTGTTTCTTCTGTAATTGTAACCTGAAGAGCTACCTGCATGTAAATGAAATACATTGACTCATTAATGGAAGTAGCATTTACATTGGGCAGTGTTTCTTGGTAAGGCTTGCTTCCTTAACTTGTTCAGAGGGCAAAAGCTTAAGGACAGATATTTCACTTCTGTTTACAGTGATTCTAGCTTCTGAGGTTGTTTTGCATACACAGACACATGCCAAAGTGATTGTTCATAATTTTCTCAGTGCTTTACAGTTCACCAAGGAGTTTAACTTGAAGTTCCTTACTAAACTTTTAAGGAAAAGCAGTAGACTTGTGTTTTTATTCTGACCCTTAACTCTACTGTTCCTTTTTTGTTACAGAATATCTCAGATCTGCCCTAACTGGTTTGGCTCAGTGGATAGAGCATCGGCCTGTGGACTGAAGGGTCCCAGATTCAATTCTGGTCAAGGGCATGTACCTTGGTTGCAGGCTTGATCCCCAGTAGGGGGTGTGCAGAAGGCAGTTGACCGATGTTTCTTTCTATTCGATGTTTCTAACTCTCTATCCCTCTCCCTTCCTCTCTGTAAAAATCAGTAAAAAATATATTTTAAAAATATCCTATATAATAAAAGGCCAGCGACCATAATGGCGTAACGAACAGAACAACCAATCGATCAGTCGCAATGAGGTGCATTGACCACCTCTCAGTCCCTCCCCCATCACGCAGGCTCTGATCACTGGATGGCCAATGGGGAACCACAGGGAACCGGGGTGGGTGGCGGCAGGACTGGGGGTTGGCAAGCAGGCGGAAGGCAGACCTCTTGGTCCCTCCCTCTGGCCTGCAGGCTCCGATGTGAATGGTGAACCACAGGGAACTGAGGTGGGCGGTGGGAACTGGGGACTGGCGAGCGGGTGGAAGATGGCCCTGATCACAGACTAGGCCTAGGGACCCTACCTGTGCATGATTTCGTGCACTGGGCCTCTAGTATATTTATAACGTGGAGATTATGTAGGAAAGCAGATCACTTCAGGTTTCTTTAAAAAACAAACAAACAAAAATGTATCCCAGATCTCTAAAGATACAAGCTGTCAAGCGAAAGATCAAAATTATGTTCTCTTTCAAACCATACGACTTAGAAACACAATCCATTTATTTTGAATGCTAACATCACTTTGTTATTTGTAATGATGATACATCAAAATGTGTTAATTCCTTACCCAGGCCTGATAGTAACACTACCGAGATCAGAACTCTGGCTTTTGGATTCAGGCACCCAAGTGGTGTTTGATGCCTCTGCTCTGTTCTTTCATACTTGTATGTATAGATCTTGGCCATCACATGCACACCTGTTGGTTTAGAGGTGTGTTCAATTGCAATAGAATTTATGTTTGTTAATCATATTTTAAACATTGTGTCAATGCCGGTCCAGCTTCTCACCCTGCATCTATTGTCTGCCCTCCTCTCCATACTTATTGGCTAAGACACCTTTTCTCCAGGGGGAGCTTTCTGTGCCTACCGGTTGTCCTGTCTAAATGTCACAGTGGTGCTTTGGCATAGGAACATTCAGGGTGGGGAAAAGGGGAAGAGAAGAGAATTTCTCTTTAAAAATACTAACTAGAGTAATCATGCCAGAATTGTTCTGGTTACCATTCAAATACATTATCTTTATTTTCATAATGATTTGTTGTAGTTGGTATGACATAAAATTTTGAGATTTTTGCATTTAGAGAACATATTTAAATGATCAAACGATTTCTAAATGGGGTGCATCTATTTTTCTTCTTCTCTAAATAGCCTGTTAGCTTCCCATCTCCATCACCTTCTTATATTATCTTTGTTAATATTCTCTTTGATAGCAAATAAAAACCCAGCTACCATGCCAAAAAAAAAAGTGTGACTAATATATTCAACCAAATGGTCCAACCAGATAAATTCATTTCTAGTCTTTTGAATCTCCTTCAATGGTCAGTTAAAACCTTATTTAATAGGAGTCAAAGATTTTCCCTTTCTCATGTTTTGTGGTCCTTTTTTTTCTATTATAGAGAAACCTAATGTGCCAGTCAATTAGTATTTATTTGTTGTGTAATTATGAACATGAGGTTCCAGGTTTTTGATGCTGTTAGGGCTTCCCAAAATGGGCATATAGTTTTAACTGGCCTTGAAAAGCTAACCATTTTGTTGGGGAAAGAAAATATATGAAAAGATAATAAAAGAAGGTAGTTTTGTGATACTTCCGCCATAACTCACAGTGGGTGGCAATATCTTTAACACTCTGTTGAAACGTTTACTTAATTATTAAGGACCTTTCTTTCAGTTTGAAGATGTATAGTGAGAAATTTCTTGCTTATATTCTGAAACAGTTGTCACTTTATGTCTCACCTTATGCTTCTATGTAGGATATAGTAATTCAGTGGAATATTTTAAATAATTCAAAGAGTTTTATCTTATTTTGATCAATTCATGGCATTTAGAGGCTTAAGAGTGAGAAATACAATGGCTTAAAGGTGTAAAGCATAGATTTTTGCAATTATCAGACCAGGGTTTGAATCTTGTATCTATCATTTGATCACTTTGTGATCTTGGGCAAGTCACTTAGCCTCTATGAGCCCAGTTTGATTTCCTGTGAAATGGGATGTGCAAAGCTTACATTTACTCTGGGAATTTTTACTATTAGAAACAATATTGTAGGTCTCTATCTTAGTTGTTGAGAAAGAAAATACATTCTGGCATATCTGATGATTCCATATAAATGCATCAAAAATGTTCATGGTCATTCATGGATAGACTTTCTTTCCTTGGGTCCAGACACTTGGCCACAAATGGAAACAATGAAATAGAATGTTAAAATGCTTTTTGAGAACTACAATGTGTAATTAAAGGACAAACCACACAAAACATAGGCATCTGATAAAACTGTTATCGTGTGTTCTTTTAAAAGTCCTGTTTTCTGAAACATTAGAGTAAAAAGACTTGGCTTTTTAAAAAGCTGGAAGAGAGTGAAACCATAACAAATAAAAGGGCCACATGCCTTTGTGCATGCCTCCAGCATCCTAAATATTTCAGACCCATTCCAAGTACACACATTATTACGCAAAGTGATGTAATTCCTATTAACTTCAGAGATGGTATGTTCACCTGATACAAGGAATGATAGATGCTATGCTTGTTCTGTGAGGTGTATTGTAAAATTACGTTGCTGGAGCTTTTTTTCTTCATTGTCAGCACAAATCCTTGTTTATTAAAGATTTAGCTTGAAGGAAATTTTAATTAATTACAGGTGCAGTAAATCCTGCCTGGGAAGCTGCCATGCTGTGCTTGCAGCGAATGGCCTTCATGTGCCGGTGC